TCGGGGTATTTATTCTTCTGTTTTACTTAATAAATGATTGGCCATTTGTATATAAATGTATAACGATGATTACTACCAATAATTTATGCCATAATTTTAACACACATTTATCAACCTCGAATAGTTACCGCCATGTTACTGTTTATCATGTCATTGACCTCAGCAGTGCATTAATCAATAAATTAATAATTTATGATATTTTGGATTTGGGATGATTCACATTCTCAATATTTTGATAAAAAAAAAAATAAATATTTTGTTTATGAAGTGTAAAATGCAATTGAATTGTTTTTTTGTGAATAGTGTTGTCTGATCACATATAAATATTGTCATGGAAGATTTATTTTCTATTTTCCTTTTGTGCTCATTTTAAATCTACTGGGAAAAAATACACCCAGTACAAAAACTTTGAAGGTATTTATTATTTTAGATATTAACATCTACTTTTATGTGTGTTTTTTTTAACAATACTTTTCATAACCTGAAAGCTAAACGGAATTGTAGTGGTTGTTAAAATCACTCATGAGAATAACATTTGAAAATCAGATTCAATATCTAAAATTGAAAATGCATGAGATACAATGTTTAGTAAAATGAAAGAATTTAATTAAAATATTTTTAACATTTTCCATAGTGTTGAATAAACAATAATTTATTCTCATACTGTAATATTATAGATATATAACAATTTCCTGTGGGTATTTTTACAAAGTAAAGCATCGCTTATAATTTAAATGAAAGGCTAATTTTGTCTTGCATTGGATATTTACGTTAACACGTTGGATCTCAAAAAATGTATTTTGAAAAAAAAAATTTAGTTTGATTTTTATTAAATTGTAAAATTGTCTAATAAAGAATAACTGTAAGTAATAAGTTAACGTTTCTACTGTGATTGAAGTTGTTGAATACAGTGGCGTAGCCAGGATTTTTCAATGGGGAGATATATTATTTTAATATTTCTTGAACTTTATTTAAAGCATTAAAAGTCAAAAAATATTTTAATTACATTAAAATTTACATCAACCGTAGTTTTCTCGTATAGGTCGTTAATTTATTTAGGACATCATCAGAGTTTATCATTATATCACTGTGTATATTCATCATTGTCAAACCATTCAATCTATTTTCGTATGTGGTGTTTCGTAAATATGTTTTCAATCTTTTTAATGTTGAAAAAGATTGTTAACTATTAACAGTTGTAACTGGGAGAGTTGTTAAAATCTTTAAAAGTTTGAAAATAGAAGGGAAAATTGATATGTTACATTTTTGAAGAGTGTCGATAACATTTTTTGGTATCATAAATATGGTAAATCTTTAGTTCTTGTAAATTTTTGTTGCCAAATTTTAATTACACTCACAGTTGCTAACACACTGCAATCTAAATCGCCTTAATACATTTCAACTAACTGAATTAGTAATTTAATTTTTTTCTTCGTATTGTATACTATTGGATGATGGTAAAATAACGTAACATTTTCAATTATAGATCTATGAGATAAAAATCAATAGTTTAATTGATTTTAAAAATGATCTATAAATGGAATGAATAAAGATGTTCTGTAATAATCCTCAAGCAAATCAACCTAGATATTGCATCTGTTTTTTTGCTTATTAGTTGTACGAGGAATAGATGTTTCAATGTTTAAGGCATCACATTTAGATTTTACATTATTAAATATAATTTTAAATTCACTTTTATCATTTAATCTTAGTTGTTTAATTATATTTACTACGTCATTAGCGGAATGAATAGCTTCAACCAGATCTATATTCTTTGTCTGAATAAACTTACTTAATGGTAAATTCAAATTCAACACATGTCCCAATACATAAGTTGCTAGTATAAATTCTGGTTATCTTATAGCACATAGCAATTAGTATGCTCCTGATGAAGCATCCTTATCAAACCAAGTAAAATTTCTGATAAACTATCAACTATTGCATCAAATAACTCGAGGAAAATAATTATTGAGTCATGTCGATCTACCCATCTTGTTAGACATAACAGTTTCAAACGGTTATGGGTTGATGAAGAACATAAACGTCCTATTGATTTGGATAAAACATTATTTTTTTTGGGTTATTTAAAAAAAATACAAGCTTTTGACGAGAGAAAAAACCATTTTCGTACATGATGAATTGATAACACGAAATATCGATAGTGTAATAATCAATATGATGTTATGTATTATGTACAAATTATTATATTATTATGTACCATTTTTCAAATAAGAACGCACCATATGTGTATGCATCGTAATCAGCTAGGGAGGAACAACACAAAATGAGTAATTTATTGTTCTATAATTGGTCACCATCAGTTGTCTACTACGGTCAACTATCAACGACGCCGTGCATATAGAGAATTTAATAATTAAAAAAAAAATATTAAATAAAAACTAATGGGGGGGGGGGGGTTACAACACCCAAAACCCTTCCTGGCTACGCCATTGATTGAATACATATATATAAAAATAATAATAATATACAATAAACATGTAATTTAAAAAATAAAAATGAAATCAAAATTTATATTTTATGACTTTTAATTTATCATTAGTAATTTTACACATCAATGTGTAATAAAGTCCTGTTGATGGGACACACTAAAAATTAATTCTATTCATAGAATCCTCAAAACTTTTTTTTTTAATTTAAATAAATATAATATAATCTTATAGTATTTTTGTTCTTTATCATACGATATTCTGCAGCTATTTTCTTTATACAACAGAAATATAGTACTATAGTTATTATAGTTCTAATATCACAAACATAATCTGTTATTTTTCTCAACTGTTAAAATATTTTTACAATTTTCATTCAATAAATAATGAATGATTTTTATATCAATAATTATTATTTAAATATGCTTATTTTATTTAATAAAAACAAAAATAATTATTACGTGTATTTTCATAACGTCCAATTATTAACAGAATAAAATTCTGCCATTTTTATATAGTTAGTTTTTAAAGTTATTTAATTTCAAGTAGGTATTATACGTCCTACTAAGTTCTATTTGATTTAATTACAAAATAAATTTGGCAATTATTATAGACTTCAACAGTAGATTGAATCATAGAATTTTAGATCTACGTATATTTTAATTGAAAAACGAAAAATTATTTAAAAGTTATCTAAGTAGTTAGAAAATGTAATTAAAAATCTAATTTATTTTTACAATTATTTCAAGAATAAGTTTTTCAACAAGATATAAAAAAAAATTCATTATTATATCAACGAAAATCAAAATTTTTATTTTATTTTTTTGAAAATTTCAGCTACACAATTTTATACTATTTCATAATTTTATATCTCTCTAAAAAAATCTATAAAGTATATTTTTTTCATTATACATTTACAGTCAATTTTGAATCAGCCAACAGAAGATCAATGCAGTAAGAATGTATAAAATATTTGATAAATGTTAAAGTAAACAATAATAAAAGAAGAGTCAATATTGTATGTAATAAAGTAATACGTTTGAATAATATCACATCAAACATATAAAAATAAAATAAAAGAGAATAGTTTGATTAATCGTTAAACTCTAAATATCTTCCTAAATGATTGAATCATTAATACCTCCATCTTATTCAGTTATTTTTTATAAATATAATTAAATCAATCAAATTAATTACATTCGTGTTCTTGATTAAACATTAGGTTTATAAAATCTATTTTACAAAAAATAAATCTTTTTGTACGATTTTTTACTGCCCAAATAATAATAATAATAATAATAATAATATGAATGATAAGTCAATTTTTATTTTATATATAATATATATTTAATTTAATCATATTTGCACAATGCTTCTCACATGTGTCTGTAAAATAGGTACTAGCTTGGAAACATCAATACCACATAATGCTAATAGGATGTCGTGTCAAACTTTTGCGTTTAGGATAGAAAGAAAACGTTAATACCAATCGCGTTCTGTGATCTGATTTCGGTATTGTCAACACTTCACGCATTTATTTTACGCGGTCGTATTCAAATATTCTTGCGTCAAGGTTTGTATGAAACCATTAATAACATTTTTTCATTCATTGTTGTTTTCATTTTTTCTTTCGGCTGAAGGAATATCGTTGAATAACGTCAAAAGCTTAACGTCGAAGTTCAAAACAGGTGACAGTAGGTAAAATTATTCGTTACCAAACTAGAGGCATGTTACACTACGTTGAGATTAAAAATATCCTACTGAATATTTTAGCGATGTTGGATGTTAGATCAGCGTAAAGTATATCTACTGTTTATGAGCTTAGTTAAATTTTTTTTCATAAAATATACACAATATGACGTTATATAGTTCATAAAATTAATTCGTAAACGTTATTCTCACCTATCGTTACAATCGTACTTACATTTATTTACAATCAATTTGAATTCAACTTAAAAACGGTGTTATTCATTGAAACGAATGTAAAATATTAAAAGTTATGGAAATCCAATGTGAAATTCGGTGATTTTCCATATATGTATATATATTAATGTGCTGGGACGTATGATTGTCATAATTTCTAGATTCCTGATTTTTCCGAGTTTGTCCAGTGTATTTTGACGATTAATCGTTTCAGTAAAAAAAAAGTTCAAAAATTATAGCGTATAACCAGTATTAGTCGTACAAAATTGTGTACGTTCGAAAATTGTTTGAATATTTAATGTAAAACCATGATATTTTATCTTAATACATATTTTTATAAATACTATTAATTGATTTTCGTTCGATATTTCGACCCTGAACATTTTCAGTGATAATATATTATAAGTGAAAAAATCGTGGATCGTTCCGGGAAAGTTCGAAACGAGTTACTGTTAACCTTGGATGCACACACACACACACATACTCGGGCATGCGTCAAATGTGCATAAATTATGAAATTAACTCCTTTTCCACCACCACCACTCGTGCGACTAACGATTTCCGATCGGACACCGTATAACGCGTAAGACTCGCCTGAAGCGCCCAAGTCTCGAGTGCGATTGTTCACCGACGTCGGTCAGCCCAATGTGTTGCACCGAACCGTCGACGAACGCTTTTTTAATTTTTTTTTTCTATCTTCCATTTCCCAATGTTTCCGCCGTTCGAATTTGAAGCGCTGACCGAACTTTCGCCGGCCGACGGATTCGAGACGAGCGCTCGGCCGTGGGGATGGAAAATCGCAACCCCTACTCGTACGTACCGACTCCGGGTACGGTATTTATGTGTCACCGCGGTACGGTATTTACCGTGCGATGGAGGCGGAGCCAGGGGAAATTACTGCTTGTGGTGTACGGGGACGACTTGCCGGCGCGAACGGTAGTCCACCGTTTCGCGTTCAGGGCGACCATCCTCTGGAGACGAGCGCGCGCGTATACCTCTGGATATTCCTCGCGATCGAATCTATCGGAACATTATCGTCCGGCGGTTGTCCGTTTTGTTTCCATTTTTTTTTCATCTTACTCGTGCTGTCTCGGCGTTTTCTCCCCCCTCCGAGAAATCATCAAGGACCAACACTGTGACCAAAAAATGTGAGTATTCAAATGTAATTATTATTTGAATATTGTTAATTTCCAGTTTATTCCACGTGCGTGGATGATCATTTTTGGTCAGGAGGTTATGTCGTATTAAATCTTTCGAGAGTAAATTATTTTTATCAGTCGTTCCTATTTGGAATTTTACGAGTGTGTTATTATGAACACTTTAATGTACGGAATAGCTGCTCGTATAGTTAATAACGTAGCCAAATATGCGCGGACCGTAATTTATAAAAAATAAAAAAACAATTTAATAAAGTAAAGGTAATGAAATCTGTCTGATAACGTATGACTAATTAAAACTTAAAAGAAACCAATGACTGCTTTTCAGCAACGGTCTTTTACCGATAAAGTTATCATTGTACTACAGAATATTTCAAATTGTATATTACATCTTATCACAATAAGACTTATTTAAATTTATAATCAATAACATTTTATTAAATCTGAATGCGTTTGAATTTATTTCGATCAATAATCGGTGCCTACACGATCGACGTACAGTTTTTACATTGATTGTCATGTCAAAACTGTTAGATTTATATTAGGTATATATGTAAGTTTTATATATATATTTTTTTATTATTTATTCAATTTTAATTGTTTTAATATACTGAATGTTTTTTACACAGTTATAGATAATTCTGTATTGTGATATATTTTTATTTTTGAAAGTTTTATACTCTGGACGATAAACTTGTGTATTTGATTTAACGCGATTGTATATTATACGGCTATATAAGTGTGTGTTTCGTAACTTTTATGTGTTATATTTACTGGTCGAATACCCAGTCGATCAGTTTCGTATTAGAATTTGTCGAAAGAAAGCTATACACATTGCTATGGTTAAACACATTTTATTATTATTCTCAGATCGTTTATTGTTCAACAGTGTTTTGTAGTTAATTTTAACGAGAATTGCTATAACGACAGGAATAAACCTACACACAAAATCTTGGTAAAATGGTTTTATTGTGAAAAATAATTTATTCGTCGATTCGTCGTATTATACTAACAAAATGAAAATTAATTTATGCGTACTCTAGGGCTATATCGTTTAATGTTTAACAAACAATAAATGTTATAACGATTCTTCTGTACATACAAACATATTTTCCACCGAGTCGTAGATATGCATTTTATATGGGTAAGAAGAGGAGGGAATTCATAACTATATTGAGAAAGCAAAAAAAAAAAAAATATATATGAATAAAATGACATAATGTTTATAAAAGTAACATTAATATTGCCAATGGTTACAATAATTATTATAATAGGAGACCTATGCAGTGTGAACGTCAATCGTAATTATTATCATGTTCAGTATGATATTTTAATCTGAACTTTATTTTTTTACAAAAATAATTTAAAATACATTTTACGGTATGAAAATGAACTGAGAAATTCTACTCTGAACTATAATTAATTATTTGTTTACTATTTTTTTGCACCTTAAAATGTTTGTCGTTAATTGGTTGTTTATATATGAGCTTAGATTGACAATAATCGAATATATTCCATTTTAGATTGTTATTCATTTTTTAAATAATGTTCATTCCATTGTTATTGATTGACTTTAATTATTAACAATATTAGTTTTGTCATTAATTTTATGTATGTTAAAAATTAATCCCATATGTCTTTTTCATCCAATTTATTAGGTTGGTTATGTGATGTTTAAGCCACGATAAATCCCAGATTGACGAATTTAAAATATCTCGAGGGATGTGTTTAAATTTGATTATGGATTTGAAATGTATATTAATGTATACGCTTTTGATGGTTTTCGGTTATTATCAGGGCTGGTTTATATAATAAAAAAAAAAAAAAAACGGCAAACCCTTGCAATGGGCACATAAGTAAAGTAATCAATAAAAATTAAGCTGCTCACACCATGCACCAATTCTCTGTGGGAATATGTTTTTCCTGCATCCGATGATTGATGAAACTACACACAATATATATACCATCAGCTTTTTCCCATTCCGACAATCTTTACCATATTTTAGTTCAAATTTCCATTATTTCCAAATGTCATCTCTAATGATATAAATTTATTTAATTCATTGAGATTCGAAATCAATAATAATACGCCATTATATATCCCAGGTTATTTACGTATCGTGATAGAACTAACAATTTTTTATTTCTTATACTAAATTTCACGTGTTCTGGATTGATTTGTAATACGACAATTGTTAAAATAATAAACGGTAGAGATCTACATAATGGCGATGTATAGTCAAACAATGGTATTATAGAGTTCTGGTACTTTTGAACATTTCACCGTACATTAATTTACATTAATTTCGGTTGGATATTATGATTATTGAGAGCCAGTGATGTAAAAATACCGTATTTTATTTTTTAATTGTATAATACGTGTATTATATATGTATTATACGTGTATAATATAGTATTTTAAAAAAATGTTATGGTGTTTACATAATTGTTAAATATATAACTGCCGGAGTGTAATAAGAATGTAAGATGAATAATATTAGATATTATTAGGTCGACCCATAGTAAAAAGAAACAGTAACTAACGTTTAAGAACTTCAATTAATTATAACTTGTAGCCTTTAGGTAATTAAATAGAATTAATAGAATTTAGTATATTATAATACTGCGGTTCAGTGGCGTACCCAGGAACTTTTTATTGGGGGGGGGGGGTTAAGCAAATATATATACATTTAATCTTATCACTATCATTTTGACTACTATTATATTACATAATATAATTATATTTTAGTAGACTATATAGTATCGATATCGGTATTTTTAAGTCCGGTTGACATTAGTTTTTTTGACTCAAGTAAAAAAAAAGAATTAATTTTTCTAATCTGCTTATATGTTAGAGAATTTGCCTATAATAATAATAATAACAATTTAGGAACTAGGAACTAATAAAGGAACATAAATATTAGATATTAGAATATTTTCTGTTCAATCACTTAGGTATAATAAAAATTAAATTTTAAAAATATCTTACTATAATAAAATGTTTAGACGTCTTAGAATGATGTAAAATTAAAATAAAACAAATATAATGGAATACAAATATCAAATATAAACGAATAAACGAGTAGTAAGTAAAACAGTGAGACACCAGCGGGCAACGACCAACTATATAAATATTAGTTTTACACAATAACGAGTTTGCGTTAAATGATCGGCGAACCACGAATGCAATAGGTATACCCAAAATAAACTTTGAATATAGACAATGATATCGCTTTTATCTCAGTTATCGGGACCAGACGACCGATTTAGAATCAACCGTTGTAGAAAATCTAAATAATATGTTCCCAAATAAAAATTATCAAAGAAGTAGTAAAGTATCTAATTATGATCATATTATGACATGTGTGTGTGTATGTGTATGTGTGTGCAGCGTGTGTATAATACATTTATAGTGTTTATACAAGCTATTTATATGATTTCCAAGTCAAAATTCTAAAATATAAAAACGTTAAAGAAAAAACCATGTTTCATTTAAAAGTTAATTTACCATCTTAGGTTTATGGGGGGGGGGGGATTTATGACCCCTAACCCTCCATGAATATGCCATTGCTGCGGTCTATTGTCTACGATTAAGACTTATAACTTAGCACTCATCGCACGTATCACTACGATTTACAAATATTTCGACTAAAATCATGGAACTTAAGTTAATAGGTCTATCGTCTATGGCTAGAATAGTTTTTATAATGGACAATGATGCTTTTTCTTTATAATCTCTTTTCCATGATGCTAACCGGTAACCACCAACCAATAGCCATGTTACTTGTGTGGCCGTGCTCCTTCGTTTTATTACTGTTATCATTTATCACTGTTATTTACTATTTATCAATTATCACTTATTTTTTTTTTTTTACCACTTGTATTTTAATTTTTTATACATGACGTATAATACGCCTGTATAATACAATATTATACAATATGTATTATACAATTTACATCACTGTTGAGAGTAGAACGTATTCATTTGTGAGCATTAACCTTTTTTATTTTTATTTATTGGTTTTTTTATTTTAAGTAAACTAGGAACGGATTGGTTTATCATGATGTGTGTTTTTCTTTTGTAACTGTGTACGCAATTTACGATTTTGCTCCGATTATCACCAAATAAAAAATAAAAGTTTGGAAATGGATTTGATCGATACTGTGGTGGGGTAAATTTTACGAATTTCTAAAAAGTTTTCTTATTATGTAAAAATGGTGAAAAGTTAAGTAAAAAAAAAAAAAAAAAAAAAAAATGGGAAAATGAACGATGTACTGATTTGCAACAAAAACAAATTTTTTGTCACCTTCACTCAAAAAATAATATTCAAGATGAATTTATATTTTTACTGAATGCTTATACTTGTATATCAAAGTTTGATATAAATGATAGAATTTTTTAATGATTTTTTTTTTGTGTGTTATTAACTGGTACCAAATTGAAAAAAAAAAATTCTTAGATTTTTTCGAAAATGTCGATAAAATAATTTTTGTTTGACAAAAGGCCTCGATAATTGAATATAAAGTATCTCATACATATCTATTACTGATAAATGATAAAGAAAAAAAGAAAATTGAGCTACTGCTATATTAAGCATAAACCGATCCACTCGACCTTTTTCACCGAGAATCGGTTTTTCGAGAGCACTGATACGTTGGTTTCACGTATAAAAGAACAATACAGTAACATTATTCACCCATCCCTATATCTCACCCGAAAGTGGACTTTCGCCTTTTGACATAGTTATTGCCATTACACATTTCAGCTTGACAGAATTGATTTGTCCTTCATTGATGTACGTTTATGGATTTACCGACTTTATTCAGTTATAGGTTAGAGAAAATGTTAAGTCTTTTTTTTTTTTTTTATACACATTTTCTAAGAAAAATATCTCCGACCCTTTTTATTTTTTTACTAGTTTGGCTATTTTCTAAATATATATGAAATACTGAAAATGTTAACCTTCAATAGATAATATTTTTGTTTGAAT